TCTTTCTTCCTTAAATCGAATAATTAAAAAAATACTTACTGTTATATTTTTCTGGTTTACTTACGGCAACAACACCAACAGCATAAAATAATAATGATAATGGAAACAATGGGTATGGGTATAAAAACCGTTCCTGAAGTCATTTTAAACGTTTCCCTGGAAAACTAGACTACATAAACTAAATAATTTATATGTGTAATGGTATTTTATATATTTTATCTTTTACTTAATCAATTTACTGCTCTTATCTTAACCCAGCGCTTGTGTGGATACAACTTTGGGTGATTTTACAGCCCATGCGCAGAATATATACAGGGTGTCCTTTACGCCATACCACACTTAAAGCCATGACTTCCAAGCTTAGCTTTTTGGGAATTGTTGATGGAACGTTGTATTGCACGTATGGTGTAACAAAAAATACAATTATCATGGTTTTATCTTGTTTTTTTGTTATATTGCGTAATTATCTAACAAAGAAAAACATTATTAGTTTATTAATAAACTAATTAAATTTTAATACATCAAAAGCTGATAATTTTTTTTAAATGTGATAATGTTTTTGTTAGATATTAGGAAAAATCTTTGTATTTTGGAAATATTTTTTAATTTGTCCACCCAATTTTAATGTATTTTTTCAGAAGCACGTTTGTACCTTTTGTTTGTGTCAGTACCTTGGCGTGTCACAACTCCTGAATCAAATATTTGAGTGATTTTCTTTTAAAATATATTCAATTTATCTTAAATTTTTCAATTTTACTACAAACTATAAAACATTAAATAATGTATTTTTCATATTTTATCATAGATTCGAATAATAGCAATTTACTACTCACTTTTACCCGTCAGTTCTGTGTCCAATGTTAAAATTCAAAATTCCTGCTAAATATTGAAGTTTAAACGTCAAGTCCTCCTTTTAACTCAAGTGTTGGTAAAAAATTACCTACAGAGCCCGCACTTTGCACGACAGTCATCTTGAAAACAATGCAAGCGGCGAAGTTGTGGTGAATGCACGTATAGTTCCAGTCAAAATTTCAGTACTGTGGTTCATTGTAATTTACTTATATAAGGCTATATGTGATTTGTTGATAAGTAGCATCCACTAATACAAAATACCAGTAAAATACTTAATTACGAATTATAATCTCAAATTTGTATCCCATTCATCATTACCGTGTTGTCAGTTCCATGTTCGATGTTTCGGTTATCTTTTTTTCGCAAACTTCAATTTAAATTCCGCTTGCGCAGAACTTGTTTATTAATGTCATTATAAACTGATATAAATTTGGTGTGGGTCCCATATCTAATAATTGAGATATCGGTATACCCAAAATCCACCAGCCGCCACTGATGTGTGGTTTTATTTGATTTTAAGATATTTAATGTATAATATGCTCAAAGTTGCAATAAATATTATATTTTCCAATAAATTATGTATTTAATTAGTACCCTGGTATACTCGTTACTTCCCTTGCATTCAAATTTAGATACTTTAGAAACTGTTTGAAAAAGTGAGTGGCCCGGTCTGGAACAGTATATTTATTATATTATCCAAGTTCTCAAAAAAAATACTGTTTAATTTTCTCTGAAAAATATATAAACAAAATCAGGTCAAAAGTTGCCCAACTTTTGTAGAATCACTAATAAGTACAGTATAGACTCTATACTATAGACCTATTTAACATTTTATTTAGGATAGTATGTTATTAAACAAGAAAATTTTAATTTTAAATTAATGCGAATTGTTAATGCGTCATAAGTCTGCCGACATTTAAATTTGAATTTGACACGTTTTAAATTAACGTATAGGTGGCGTAAAGATACGTATCCATGTTTGTGATTGGTGGAGAGAAAGTGAGAGAGAAACGTCATGTTGTCAGTTGATTCATTGTCGAGGAATCTGATGTGTTCAGGATTATAGTTTATACACTTTGTCAATGATCTGTGTGGCAATTAGAGTAAACGTGGTAATAAACTTTCATGGATAAAGGGATAATTCATAGTCTCCTCCTTATAGAGGGAACAGGAACTTTAAAATTTCCAATGAAACCCCCTTTTTTTATTACTACAGATTCGGATCATTCGACTAAAAATAGGTAGATTTTGTCTAAAACATTTTTTCATATTTGTAATTGATAGCGCTGTAATGAAAAAAAATCAATTTTGTTCGATTTTTCTTTTGTATACGATTCTCCAATAATTTTTGAATAAAGTACTTGGTTTTATTTTTGAAATTTATTTATTTTTTAAATTTTAATTAAAGTAGGTGCTCAAAATCGTGGCCTTCGACTTCAATGCATTTATTAATTTGCATTTCGTTTTAATATTCTGCTAACACTGCTCTGGGATATTTCCAAATCTCTAGACAATTCTCGTGTGCTTGCATGAGGATTAGCGGCCGTTGCTGCTAATACATTAATTTCATTATTTTCACCTGTGACTGTTGCTCGACGAACTCTTTTTTTGGTTGAACACCCCCGTTTGTAGTAAACTGCTTGACTGTACGGTGAAATGAAGTAGGTGATCGAATTTTATCCGGAAAACGCTGAGCGTAGATATTAAGATCAAGATTCCTGCCTGCTTCTCCATAAATAAAATTTCTATTTTTTTTCCACTCTTCAAAAATCCATTATAAATAACTTCTTAACGAAAGGAGGTCTTTTTGTTTGCATACCATTTTTTATACCTCAATCAGGATTAAATTAACTAATTGACAAAATAATGTTTGTTACCTTAAATGAGGTATTTTTATTAAAAATGGTACAATAATCCTTTGAATTAAAGGATTTAATGCTGGCAGGTAAAAAGTGACCATGATGCGCAATTGATAGTTGGTTCGTTTTCAAAAAACACCCGCCTTCCGCTGTCCGTAAGTTTGAAATCCAATAACTTTGTTAAAAATTATCGGATCTTATTGATTTAAAAACCAAGTTGTGAAAGCCTGACAAGCCCTTAGTAAACTCTTTCAGGAAATTTTTGTTTAGTTATTTCAGAATATTTTTTTTTAATTTTGAAACTTGTAAAACACACATTTTCGCATGTCCCATTAGCGTTTTATAAAACTTACAAACATGTTTTTTTTTAATATTGAATAGCCAGAACTTTGTGTTGCTTTATAGCAATCCATAACATCCTTAGTTAATACAGTAAACAATTTATATATAAAATAATTAATTTTAATCTACTTTTTTTTTTTAAATTTGACTCATGTCCCAGACATTTTTTCCGTTGCGTTATGTCCGTCGCGTTACCTATAGAATATTAAAAACACATATATATGGCAACTTTTTTGGTACTCACGTGATCAACAAATGATGTTCGGACGTACACATTACCCAGCTGAATTTATTTATTCAATCAGGAAGAAGATATCGGTTGAAGCAGGTGCGGGTAACGCGAATGTAATAATTGTTTGTCCGCTAAGTTACTTAAAAAAATAATAAAAATAAGGTAAGAAAAAATACTACTTTTTATTTTTATGTTTATTTTATGGCACTAAAGCTCATTGAGAGTAATTAATGACTTTAATGTCTTATTATTATTTTTTAAATATGGTTTTACAAAACTTTGTCCACTGCGTTACCGAATCCACTATGTTACCTTATGGTAACGCAATAGAATTTTTCGACAACAAAGTGGATATTTACAGCCGCTTTTATTAAAAGTAGTTTATGATTAACCAATTTAAAATTATTTGTAATTACAACTCATAATATAGATCACATCCAAGGAAAAATTCCACGCAATATAAAAGTACCAAAACGGACCTTCACCAGCTTATAGTCAAAGAAAAAGGGTGTCTACAATTTAGAAATCTAAGTTGTTAATCTGCAAGGGATTTTGTTTATGCATTACTCTAAAATCGTACCACCCTATATAGTTTCTTTTTTACGTTATCTGATTAAGTCCTTTGTGTACCCCTGTCCGTTGTGATACCAATGTCTATTTCGTTACTTTTTTTAGTTTTTATAAAAAAAAATACTTAAAATTATTTTTATACACCATCACTTGGTAATACGTGTTTATAAATTAGAGTTTAATTCACTAATACAGTGACTAAAAGAAAATATTAATGGTATTGTTTTCTTAACAAAGAATCGGAATGGTTTCTTTTAAAAAGTAACTTAACGAACACACATATTTAAAAAAGCATACAATTTTTAATAAAAAATAAAATAAAAATTGGAGTCAAAAGTTTGTGAACTAAGTACATTTTTTATTGAATTAAATGTTGGATTTCAAATTGGTAACACAATGGAGATATATAAAGCCAGCTAAACACATTTTTCTGAAAGACTCTTAACATTTATAAAAATTCAACCAAAAGTCAATTTAAGCAAAAAAAATATTTTGATCTTCATTTTCCTGAAAGCGGATGTTTCTTGAAAATGACCCAGTTATCACTGAATGAAATAATTTACCTATAAAACTTAAACCAAAGGAAACTTAAATATTTGTTAAAAAATCGTGGGTACTTAAAAAAATCAGATTTAATTTAATAAGATTATTATTACCAAAAAAAGTTATATTTTTATAGAAAAATTATTGCATAATCGTATGCAGAAGAAAAATCGAATAAAATTGATTTTTTTTTCATTACACCGCTATCCATTACAAATATGAAAAAATGTTTTTATTTAAACAAAATCTACCTATTTTTAGTCGAATGATCCGAATCTGCAATAAAAAATAGGAAGTTCCATTGGAAATTTTAAAGTTACCCCCTGTTCCCCCTATAAGGAGGAGAGTATGAGGACCAATTTTAGTGCTGATTGATTTCCCCTCTTAAATCATTTAATTTTTATTTAAAACATTTTTTCGTAAAATGCATACTAACTGAGATATTTCAAGTTTCAAGTTAAATGATTCACCCTGTAAAAGTATTGAAAAACTGATTGAATCAATTAATTGAGGCAAATTTTATTATATTTTCAGTCGCTGAAGGAATCGTCTATGGATAAATTATTATATGTTATTAAATAACATATAATAAATTTTATTACCTGTGTCTTGTTCCTGCGGTTGCTGCCGCTGCTGATATATGTCTGTAACACTGTTTTCTCCTTAAATTAAAACATTAAAAAAAAATACTACTGTTATATTTTACATACTGCCAGAACAACACGAACGAAGCAAAAGCCATATTATTACAATGATTAAGGGTATGACAACTCTATATGAATCCATTTTAAATGTTTCCCTGACAAACGAGGCTTTAAAACTAAATAATTTATATTAGTCCACGAAACAAAGATTGTAAAATTCACCAAACAGGAAATATGACTTCAGCGGTGGGTTAAGATAAAAAAAATAAATTAATTAAGTGAAAGATAAAATATTTAAATATATATAGTCCAGGAAACAAAGATTGTAGAAGGAAAACTCGATGGTAGTCGGGTTTTATTTTCTTATGTAGAGTCAGGGGTTCTGATAATGAATCAAGAATATTCCCCAAAAATTTCTTTCCGCGTCCCCTAATTTCATCCCCCGAAAGGGTTTTTTTGCTTTTGCTCAATGTACAGGGTGTACTTTTTTCAAAACTTTACTTTACTTTTTGTGGGGCTCTTGCAATGAAAATAATTAAAAAAAAAACTACGGATTCGTTACGAGGATAAGTGTACACTAAAAATCTAGGGTAGAACGAACAGCTCATTAAAGCCGTTTGGGAAATAAAAAATGGTTTTTTTTTAAAAGAACCCCCTGTACATTGAAAAGCATTAACTTTTGAAAAAAGTCTAGTACCTCAAAAAATCGTCCATTCGGATATGTTTGATTATTGTAAGGTTTGGGATCGATTACTTTTAAAATTGGGCTATAATAAAAAAAACAAAAAGTGATTTTAAAAGCAACGCTCAACTTTGCACACTGCGCATTGCAAAGGGGCTCATCATATAGGTGCAATGGGGTTTAAGGTGTGCCTTATTTAGCACATAATCAAAAGTATTAGAGGTCAAATTCTGAAAAAATGCAAGATTAGCGAGTTATGAGCCAAAAAGCAAAAAACTCCCCTTTCTGGGGATGAAATTAGGGGACGCGGAAAGAAATTTTTGGGGAATATTCTTGATTCATTATCAGCACCCCTGACTCTACATAAAAAAAATAAAACCCGACTACCATCGAGTTTTCCTTCTACAATCTTTGTTTCCTAGACTATATATATTTACATATTTTATCTTTCACTTAATTAATTTATTTCTTTATCTTAACCCACCGCTGAAGTCATATTTCCAGTTTGGTGAATTTTACATTTTGATGCGATTTTTTAAATATAATTTTTATAATAATAAATTTTTAATTTAATTATAATAAAGTTTTAATATAATTTTTTTTTACCCGTAGCGTCATTTTTCTGTTATGTATATTTGCAAATGTTGTCTAATAAATCTAAAATCCAATAAAGTATATGGATTTGGTAGTTAAGGTAGATTTAACTTGACTATATTACATAGATATTAAAACTTTATAAAATAGCATAAAAATATAATAAAATTATTGCAGTCCTTTTTTGGAAAATTTTATTTATTGAAAACTCCTTGTATATATATTTATATATATGCAATGTAATTTGTTATTCGATGAAAAAATATTTTTCCCCACCTAAAATTGATAGTGCACATTTTTCTGAATATGACTAAACGGTTTAGTCTAAACCCCAAAAGTACTATCTAAAAATGACTAATTGTCATAGCAAAAAAGCAGCCACAATTCTCGTCAATAGCCATTTGTATTCCGTACATTTAGCAGTCAATTTCTATGTAAAATTGTCTCCTGAATCCGAAAATGTCGTCAAAAGTTTGAAAATCAGAACAGTTTTTGAGATATAGTCAATAATATGGAATTGACTATATCTCAAAAACTGCTCTACTTTATTAATTTTTGACGTTTTTTTCGGATTCGTGGGACAATTTTACATAAGAATTGGCTGTTAAATGTTGCGGATACCATGGTATCCCATGGTTAAGCATGGTATAAGTGAAAAAGCAGCCACTTTTGACTAATTAATTTTTAGAGAGTAGGGTCAAAGATAATATTATTTTTAGTAGGTAAACATAGTTTTCAATACGGGGTATTTACAAATACCAATTATGAATTTTGTGTTAGATAATTTTAATTTTAACTTTCTGCACGTTCCCTTTTTCTCATTGGCGCGAGTTATTGGACACCATAACTTTTTCAAAAATGGCGAATGCGCCGGGATTAATCTTTTAAAATTATTATAATTAAGAAATAATGTTTAAGTAACGTATTTTTTAATGTTACAAATGAAGTTTTGGGTCGACTATTTCCCTCGTCTTAATTTCCACCAATCACAAACGCGCAATTTTGAATTACAAATGGTTTCTAGGTGAAAAAACTGTGTGACAGCACCTGTCAGCAGTTTATTCGAGTTTACCCGCGGCAAAACTTGACAGCTGTTGTCACCAAAAATTGAAATTTATATTTTAATTGTTAACTGTTTCTCATGAAATAGTCTTGTCAAAAACCATTCGGGCATCTAATTTTTCCTGTGAAAAAAATCGAAAAAACACAATGCTAAGTAATATTTTTTAACAAAATGCATTCGTGCAGGTGCAAAAATCCTCCTCTTCGACTCGGATTTTTGTTGCCACCAGCACTCATGCTTCTTGTTAAAATATTACTTGGCAACGTGTTTTTTCGATTTTTTTCGGAAAAATTAGATGCCCTTATGATATTACTTACGACTATTTCCCTCGTCTTAATTTCCACCAATCACAAACGCGCAATTTTGAATTGCAAATGGTTTCTAGGTGAAAAAACTGTGTGACAGCACCTGTCAGCAGTTTATTCGAGTTTACCCGCGGCAAAACTTGACAGCTGTTGTCACCAAAAATTGCAATTTATATTTTAATTGTTAACTGTTACTCATGAAATAGTCTTGTCAAATACCATTCGGGCATCTAATTTTTCCTGTGAAAAAAAATCGAAAAAACACAATGCTAAGTAATATTTTTTAACAAAATGCATTCGTGCAGGTGCAAAAATCCTCCTCTTCGACTCGGATTTTTGTTGCCACCAGCACTCATGCTTTTTGTTAAAATACTACTTAGCAACGTGTTTTTTCGATTCTTTTCGGAAAAATTAAATGCCCTTATGATATTACTTACGACTATTCCACTCATTACTTTTTGGACCAATCAGATTTCAGAAAACGAGTGGTTTTTTCAGTTTTGCAGCGATAAAACTACTATTCAGGTCAAAAAACCACTCGTTTATACGAGTTGCATAGCAACCAATTGGTTGTCTGTTGACGTTTTTAATTTTAAAATTAAAATGTTAAAAAATATGCGTTTTGGTCCAAAAAATCATACAGAAATTGAATCAGCAGTTAAAAATATTCGTGAAATAGTCTTGCGGAATACCACTCGTGATAAAATTTTCCCTGAAAAAATTTTTGATTTTTATTTACTCAAGATTTTTCCTTGGAAATTTCGCTCGTGGCATTAACTTCAAACCACTCGCCTAGCGGCTCGTGGTCTTAAAAATTAATGCCACTTGCGAAATTTCCAAGAAAAAAACATTCGTATAAAAATCAAAAATTTTATCGGTAAAATTTTACCACTAGTGGTATTATATACGAAAAAACTGTGTGACAGCACCTGTCAGCAGTTTATTCGAGTTTACCCCCGGCAAAACTTGACAGCTGTTGTCACCAAAAATTGAAATTTATATTTTAATTGTTAACTGTTACTCATGAAATAGTCTTGTCAAATACCATTCGGGCATCTAATTTTTCCTGTGAAAAAAAATCGAAAAAACACAATGCTAAGTAATATTTTTTAACAAAATGCATTCGTGCAGGTGCAAAAATCCTCCTCTTCGACTCGGATTTTTGTTGCCACTAGCACTCATGCTTCTTGTTAAAATATTACTTAGCAACGTGTTTTTTCGATTTTTTTTCGGAAAAATTAGATGCCCTTATGATATTACTTACGACTATTTCCCTCGTCTTAATTTCCACCAATCACAAACGCGCAATTTTGAATTACAAATGGTTTCTAGGTGAAAAAACTGTGTGACAGCACCTGTCAGCAGTTTATTCGAGTTTACCCGCGGCAAAACTTGACAGCTGTTGTCACCAAAAAATTGCAATTTATATTTTAATTGTTAACTGTTACTCATGAAATAGTCTTGTCAAATACCATTCGGGCATCTAATTTTTCCTGTGAAAAAAATCGAAAAAACACAATGCTAAGTAATATTTTTTAACAAAATGCATTCGTGCAGGTGCAAAAATCCTCCTCTTCGACTCGGATTTTTGTTGCCACCAGCACTCATGCTTTTTGTTAAAATATTACTTAGCAACGTGTTTTTTCGATTCTTTTCGGAAAAATTAAATGCCCTTATGATATTACTTACGACTATTCCACTCATTACTTTTTGGACCAATCAGATTTCAGAAAACGAGTGGTTTTTTCAGTTTTGCAGCGATAAAACTACTATTCAGGTCAAAAAACCACTCGTTTATACGAGTTGCATAGCAACCAATTGGTTGTCTGTTGACGTTTTTAATTTTAAAATTAAAATGTTAAAAAATATGCGTTTTGGTCCAAAAAATCATACAGAAATTGAATCAGCAGTTAAAAATATTCGTGAAATAGTCTTGCGGAATACCACTCGTGATAAAATTTTCCCTGAAAAAATTTTTGATTTTTATTTACTCAAGATTTTTCCTTGGAAATTTCGCTCGTGGCATTAACTTCAAACCACTCGCCTAGCGGCTCGTGGTCTTAAAAATTAATGCCACTTGCGAAATTTCCAAGAAAAAAACATTCGTATAAAAATCAAAAATTTTATCGGTAAAATTTTACCACTAGTGGTATTATATACGAAAAAACTGTGTGACAGCACCTGTCAGCAGTTTTTTTGAGTTTACCCGCGGCAAAACTTGACAGCTGTTGTCACCAAAATTTGCAATTTATATTTTAATTGTTAACTGTTACTCATGAAATAGTCTTGTCAAATACCATTCGGGCATCTAATTTTTCCTTTGAAAAAAAATCGAAAAAACACAATGCTAAGTAATATTTTTTAACAAAATGCA